CCAATGCAGTGCTTCATTCCGACCAAGCCATCTTCAAACGCATTATAGAAGAGCTAATTTTGTAGATATGCCCACCCCTCATGTAAAACCCCTTCCTTTAGGGGCCTTTGAGGTATCAAAAGTAAATAAATAAATAAATAAATAAATAAACATAAGTTGTTATATCCTGTTTACGTGGAATGGTGCTCATTTGTAAATTAAATAGCACCGGGGAAAGCACTGCGCCTTGCGGTACTCCCCTCGTTTGGGTATGAGTAGTTGATGAAAACCCATCTTTAAAACAATAAAATTTTCTGTCTGCAAGATAATTGTGAACCCACGCTACTACGTATCATGAAAAATCAAGGTATTCTAATCGATCTATCAAAATACAGTGCTCCATGGTATCATATGCTTTAGCGATGTCTAAGGTAACTAAAGCTGCATATTTTTTATGTAGCCGAGCTAATTGAAGCCTACTTTCTAAATAAACGTGGGCATCCCAAAATGAACAACCAGCCTTGAACCCAATTTGACAGGTGCTTAGAATTGACCTCACGGTAATAAGTTCATTAATTCGTATATTGACGATTCTCTCAACCAATTTTACTAAGTTTGATGTCAGTGCGATCGACTTTATGTCATCCAACATGTATGCTTCATTTTCATTTTTTAGCAACAATACAGTTTTGGCAAGTTTCCATTCGGGAAGTATCCATACGTTCCCTAACGAATAATTCACTAGTTCTAGCAAAAGATTAGGCGATTCCTGGAGTAAACGTTTTAACATAGAGTTCGTAATTCCATCTGGTCCGAGAGCCGTCCTCGGTAAGCATAATACTGTCTGACTCAATTCAGCTAAAAAAACTTCTGAAAATTCATGCAAGTTTACCAGAATGGACCGAATAGCCGAATGATTAGCGGTGAAGCGGCATTCTAAACCTTGCGCTATGTCTTGTAGAGAGGTGTTCATTTCTTGTGGCGTCAAGACACATGACTGCAACGTTAAAGGTGCTGGCAGTACTTTTCTTGTCCGAGGATAAGCGAACAAAGCACGCTTATTTTTGATTTAGAAAGATAATCGAAATTTCTAATGTCGTATTCTTCTTTCGCGTGGTTCACTGTACGCTTAAGTACGCCAGCAAGGAATTGATAGTCCTTCCAGTTTGTTGGGCTCTGTTTATGAAGAAGTTTTTTTCCAAGCGGCTTTTCGTCTTCTATAATCGCGCGTACACTCATCGTTCCGCCAACGAGAGGAGGATCGTTTATTCGACGGAATAGAAAATTCAGAATTTCTTCTAGATCCCTCCAGCATTGAACCAATCGTAGATGCAATCTCCTTAGTACTGGCATTTCCAAGCTTGGAAATGGCAGAACGGAGGCAGGCTTGAAATTTGCTATGGTTGATGTATGTGCGTTTTGGCTGATGTAAAGTTATTGATGGACAAGTAATGTCAAAACCTACAGGAAGATGGTCGCCGTTAGTTGCTGAATCCAGAACAACCCATGAAAAAACCTTGATTGCATTGGAGCAAAACGTTAAATCCAATACTGAGCAAGTCTAACTTCGGACAAATGTTACATGACCTTCATTCAGACACGAGAGGTTGTGATCAATAGTCTATTCCCACAGTCGCCTACCACAAGAATCTGTCCTTGTACCCCAAGACAAATGATGTTTATTAAAGTCTCCTGTGAGTACAATTTCCTTTCCACATGCTACCAAAACACTGTCAAGATAACGCGTACTTTGCACACCGGAGGGGAAGTAACAATTTATAATTTAAAAAACGTGGTATCTGGTGAGACACAAGTCTAATTCTAATATTTCACTATCCGAGTCTGTAATTCTGAAATAAATTTTCGCCATATAGCATAATTTACTTGATACGAGGATCATTAAACCACCGCCACGGGATGGGCGATCTAATCGAAAAGAACGAAAACCTGCGAAATGGAAATTTTTGTCTGGTTTAAGCCAAGTTTCTTGGAGAATCATAATATTAAGATTAAATTATTGCCAAAGTAATGTAAGTCGGTTGAGGCTGAGAATAAATAACGGCAGTTCCACTGTAGTACCCTCAACTGACCTATGGTGTTGGGCACACCACATAGGCGCATGTCGCGCCCTTCTTAGCATCTTCACGCGAAATGGCTGATTCATTTCGTTTAGATTTGGACTTGAGATCGGTGAAGATAGGGGATCTGGTACGTTTATTAGTTCGTATATTGAGTTCCATATCTGTAGCAGCACTTGTGCTCGGCTGAGGCGTATGTCGGTCTAAGTGCACCTGTGTTCCTGACAGTTTAGCCTTGCCTTCAGATGCAGAAAGTTCGTCTAACACTACATTGCGTAGCTGAGTGGCATCGCTGGTGAGTGAGTGAAACAACTTTATTGACGATCCGGCATAAAGGGGGAAGGGGTAGGGGGATTAAAGCGAGACACTAGCGTGCTCGGACGTCCCGGAGCAGCAACCTACTCGCGTCAAACCCGTGGGGGCGCCGCTTTTGGCCGCTGGCGTTCCAGGATGCTAAGCACGTGCTGACCACGTCTCTTTGGTTGCCTGGCTCTCGGCTGATGATTTTGCTGCTTATGGCAGTTGGCATTACTTCTTGGTTACCCGGCGGTGGTGCACAGTCCCAAAGGAGGTGTCTCTGGGTGGCTCGCGCCTTTTTGCAGTGTTGGCATACATCAGTGGTGTAAACCTCCGGGCAAACGTGCTTTGCCCAGACGGGGGTCCATATTGCTTGTACTTGCAGCTGCCGTAGTGCGGCTGCTTCTCTGCGTTGTAGGTCTCGGTGAGGCGGTGGGTAGAGGCGTCTGCTCGTTCTGTACCACTGCAGAACGTCGGCGTAGGTTGTGATAAAATACTCTCCCTCTTCGGCATCGGGTCGTTGCGGCTCCGAGGAATGCGTGTTGGAGCCGCACCGCTGGTAATGTCCGACACTGTAGGTTCTGTACTAGTCTGTACTCTTTGCCCAACCTGACTTGAAAGAATTTGCACCAAAACGTTGGAAAGGTCAGATATGAGTTTATTCATTGCTTTACTCGCTGCCTTTTCCGCAGCAGTTTCAATAGCCTGCGATAGACTTGAGTCCATACTGGAAGTGTAGCGCGCTGTAATGCCAGAGTATCCAAAACCCTGTCTCTAACTATGCCAATGGCTTCCCTTCAAGAACAGCGGTGGCGGTCAATAACTTCTACGATTTGAACCTCCTGGGAACGAGCGGAACAGTCAGAGTTGTCGGCGCAGTGACTCCCCCCACAGAGACAACACGTTTCCGCTGTTCCATTACACTTGCTTGAAGGATGGCTCTCTCCGCAGATGCTACAACGAGCGTTAAATTTACATCCTCCCGCACTGTGGCTGAATCTCCAGCAGTTTTTGCACTGAATCGGACGAGAAGCGAGGGGTTCTACTCGAAAGATCAATGGCCATAATTTTATTTCTGACGGGCATTTTGCGCCCACAAATGTCGCGATGACAGATTCGGTTGGTACCCTCTCTTTGTCGACTAGGCGATCACATCGGTAAATAGAAATTACGTTTGCTCCAGAGACCCTGTCTAGGGTCTCAGCTGGACTCAGCTTGGAGTCGACTCCCCGTAAAAGGCCTTTGGTACATGCAAGGTGAGGCGGAATGAAAACACTCACCGGGGTAGCAGCAAACGAGGTGCATTTGAGATTTTCCACGCAGGTCTGATCCGGCGACCTATACATGATACCTCCTCTCCCAAATGGTCGCACATCTGTGATGGTCTGTAAATGGTTTGAAGTTGTTTTAAATTCCTTTTGGACTGCCTGAGGGTTTGTATGTCTGATGAAGCCTCCATTTGTAGGTACCAGTGCCACGGGAATGCTGCCGATTCCACTGTGGAAAAGGGAGTCTAGCGGCAATTCATTAGACGGCAGGGACGCTGACCAGGCGGATCGTGCCTGGCCAGGAGAAGTAGTCGACATGAGCACTAGAGATATGGTTAGACTAAGAAACAGATGAACTAGAGAATCAGACTCTAAAGATAGCAAAGTTAAAACCACTCAATCCTCAGCCAAGAACACCCCAGCAGGTATAGCACGGGCAAGCTTGAAGACGAGACTAGAATGGTCTTGCGAAGGATCTTGCCACGTAGCGTCGTTGTTAAAATAGTGACCTCAGACCCGATCTGATGCCCACTACCATTCCGGGGTCTATAAAGATAATTTAATCACTTACAACGACACCACAAAATATTATTACTTGAGGCGTAGGCAATTCCCACTGCCACATGCAAAATTTAACAGGGCTCAGCCAATCACGCTACGTTTACTGCAAACCGGAACCTACCCACTCCGTATTTTCTACAAAAAATTCTCCCTGACAGTGAAATTCAAGACAAGTGTGACGCATGCTATGGCACCATTGGGATCAGACACACGCTGGCGGGCTGTCCAGCGACTCTCGCTAACCCCGAAGAACAATGGCTTTACTGGCCGACGATAGTGCGAAGCGCGTCTTATCAAGACCAACTACGGGCAGTCCAGAAGGTCCAGATGCCACCACAAGGCTCGGCCTGACGGTACCGGCGTGGATGCGGCTCGCCTTGGTCTGAAAAGACCGGGCTTCAGCGCACAAATATAGTTTTGTTAATGAATAAATGAGCAATCTATGACCTTGTAACGTTTTGAACTAAACACTGGTATTTACATAATCGCTATATCGGGCGCTGTGTCATTGGCATTCCTGTGCTAAATAATCCGTTTGGATTTCAGGGACACTTCATCTTTTATAGACTATGCCGTGAATCTTCAAGGCACAAAAACACAGATCACAGCTTATTCTATATCAAGAACCATTTACTTATATATTTCTTAAAAATGCTTCCTCACGGGAGACCAGTTGAAACTTCCAAAACGAAATGAAATCAAATTCGTTCATATAAGCAGTGGTTGCAGCCCACAACAATAAAAACGCTAAATATATTACACTGCTGCCGAAAAGAATGATCTCAAGTGCCTTGACTTGCAGGATGTCCCAACGCCACTATACGTCATTCGTCCTGTTCGGCCGGTGCTTCACGGGTTCCTTCGGAAGAGGCACTAGTGTTTCCCGCATGGCACGCTTAGCACCTTCACACGATGGGCGGTGGCAGCTGTTTTCGCGTTGTCGCACCCAGCAATCAAAGTCCCAGGGGAAAAGTTCGGCGGCGATTACGAAGAGCGACATCAAAGCGCCCGAAATAGCCAGCCGCATAACAACGCTCTGGTCGCCGATTAAAAGCGGAGTGAACTGGCCCAGTGTGTCCCCGAATCGGGAAGAGGCAACCATAGCGGCAGCTCCACGGCAGCGCGTCACAACAGGAAGCGATTTGAGACTCATAATAGTGAAGAACGTGAAGCACACGCTGCCCGCTGACCTCATTGGGATTACCACATATTCGCTCAGTATTTTCATTCCACCGTATGTTGTGCCAGCGAGAGCGATCAGCGTCACAGCAAAACCCAACGCAGATCCGACCACAGCGTTTCTTAAACCGAAGTGCTTGACGAACGGTATGGTGGCGACACATGCAACGGCCGACAAGGCGAAACTGAGGCTCGCTGCAACGTCTCCTGTTGGAATTCCACCCTTAGTGACGAACGTGTCGTAGCCAAAGCATAGCGCCGTCCACATGCAACACATCAAGACTGTGCGTGTCCTCAGTGACCTGCTGCAGAGACTGCTGCTTTCTGCTGTTTGCCAACCATGTGCCCGGAGGTCTACTATTTGGCGCACCATGAGCTCGCGGCAAACCTCGGCCGAAACTTTGTTCATATTCGCTGCACGCAAAGCGACACGCTCGGCTTCCTTCCCATTACCGGTCGCCAAAAGCCAAATGGGAGATTCGGTGACAGTGTAGTAAAGAACCACGAGTAGACACGTTGGTATCATCAGTATGAACTGCACGGCGACCCACCCTGTCCTGGCAAGCTGCGCGGCAAACATCGTGACAGGCATTATGACAGAAGAGAGCAACGAGATTGCGACAGTGTATGTGGGAAACTTGTCCATCGTGCAGACATCGGCAATCAAGGTAATCACAGGGGGCACCAGTGCGCTCGTTGAGGCGGAGACGATGGCACGCACGATCATGAAAAACTGCAAGTCGTCCGGCATAGCACTGGCAACACCCGATATAAGGACCACAGGAATGGTGATGAAGAGGGCCGTCCGGCGACCGATGCTGTCCGCATACAAAGTAGCTGCGGCCATCGGGATCACGCTAGCAGCCGCGTACACGAGCCTGGCAAAGTCCACGAGCCAGAGCCGGTCGCACACCAAGTCCCAGGCGCTGACGATGTTGTTCCCGTATTGGGTGTAGTCGTACTCCCAGGACGAGCAGCGCACGATGCGCGCTTCTGCGCCTCCGTGTGGCGGGTCGCGAATCGTGCAGTGGCTGTACTCGCCGTTCTTGTCCACTGGTATGGCCAACTGCTTCCATTCGTCGACGCTGAGGTTCGCGAAGGAATCGGGCCGTCTGCACCAGTGGTCCATGACTCCAGCCGTAAGAAGGAATATCTCGCTGTGGAGCAAGTAGTTCCCGAGGACGATGGCTGCGCTCAATACGTTCATCAGCTGAAACAAACCATCACCGAACGGAAGCTGCGTCTCACACAGCCACGGCGACTTTGAGCTGTACTGCAAGCTGCGAGCGGGAGTTGGTTGTTTGCCGGGGGCTGCGACCATCCTCCAAGCGCTATCTTCTTCTTCTGAAGCCCGTGCGCGTGATCACGATACCACGTGAAGGTGACGACCTATAAAGGTGGTGTCAGTAATTGTTGTGTAGGGGTTTAGGTTATATATATATCGTCATGACCAAGAAAGACGCTGGCGCTTCGGCACGCGGGTAGCTAGAGCAAATTATTTACGGCTACGAGACTACCTGAATGCCTGACTTAGCACACTTGATGATCCTGCCGCCCCGTTCTTGGCCGATCCCCCTTTGTGGGCGAGTGCCAGCAAAGCTGAAGGTTCATCATCATCATAATCATCAAGAGAAGAACGAAGTCAGGATAAGAACACTCACCTATAGTGAAACTTTTTACATCATTGATTCCCTGTCATCTCCGAAGTATTCATTTAATCTGGACACCAGGGCACAAAGGTTTGTTGTTAAACGAAACAGCTGATTCTCTTGCGAAGGCATCCCTTTCGACACCAATTTTTCCTATTTTCCCTCATACAGTATACATTACGGTGGTGTGATTTCGCACACTTAAAATCAGGCAAAATTTATCTGACCCTGCACTGACGGCTTCTCCAGAGTACAAACACTTGTTATTTCCCTGGCGCAGTGAACTGACTAATTCAAGGATGATGGAAGTTGTCATCACGAAATTTCGTTGCCGCGTTACCTCCCTCAATTTTTACTTGCATAGATCAGGCATATTGAATTTCCCTATGTGCAATTACTGTAATCAAGAGGAAACGATTAGTCATTTTTTATTACATTGTCGCCGTTTCGATTTATTCAGGCAAAGCATACTAGCACCACCTCTTCAAAGACTGGGCTTGCAACTATCACAACCTGATCTTCTTTCATTTGGAGCCTCTACACTGGGTTTCAGCCACAGGGATGTTTTGTTCACCGTTCAAGAATACCTCACTGCGACTAAACGATTTTCTTGCTAAATTACTGTCTCACTATTTTTCTTCTTTTTTTTCTGCAAACTTGATATCGGTGTTTCAAATCAAAATTAAGTTACAAAAAATTGTAGGAATGACGCATTGCTGAAAGTTTAGGGCAAATTCACCTTATAATCGGCCAATCCCCTTCTTTGGGTACGAGCCATTTGCACAGGGAAACAACAACAACAACAACAACAACAACAGCTGGCCCAGGATCGGGTGTTGTCTCTTGTTCTCTGTCTCGCTCATTACAATGGCGCAGTCGACGAAGAAGAGGTCTTACGTCCCGGCTTCATCATCCAGGAATAAGCGCCGCTTGGGGATGGCGTCAAGGCCTCCTCGGTAGCTGTTCACCTGCCGCCGCTGCCACCACCGTTCGGGGACAGCGTCAAGGCCTCCTCGGCGGCTGCAGTACCCGTTACCGTTACCATTGCACAAGAGACGCCGTCCACGCGTCCTTGGCTATGGATTCTGCCGTCAGCGCAAGCCGATAAGTGAACCCTCTGCGGGAAGCCGCCGGTACGTGTCTTCGTGGTTCGTCGACAGTGCGGGCTTCTCCATCAAGGAACGCCGTTCACGCTTCCTTGGCGTTGGGGTCCCATCCGCCGCTTCAGCCACCCTACAGACCGTCAGTGGGCGGTGTCCATGCCTCCTCTGTGGTACCAGGGCATCACCCAATGGACACTATGCTACCACTTCGCGGCCGTAATCCACACCGGCTCCTGTCCCTTGGGAATGCCACTCAAGTTTCCCATGGTCTACATTCCCGTTGCGGTACTCTTTCGACAAACGAGCCGCCACAGAACGCCGTCCAGGCTTCCCTGCTCGTCGACCACACCGGGGTGAGCGCTGCAATTGCTTCTTACTCAAAGACCACGATCACTGACTCTTCGAGCTTAATGCCCGACATCACCGCGGACCGGCGGCGTACCATTGCGCTAATCCGCGTCGATACTACCGAACTGACAGCGTTGATCGCCGAGCGAGCTCCTACAATGTTGCCACCATTGTGTGACATTAACGCAGCGTTGGATGTAGCTGCCCCATACGACCTTGACGCAAGCACACCGGAGCAACGCAGGCAGCTTCGGTCTTCTCTCATCGAGCTCTCACACCAGCTTGACTGCTTCGCGTCGGTGATCTCTGCGTTGCCACCTGCCACCTCACAATCACCGACCGTCTGCGAACTACCGGAATTTCACGGGGTCCGGAACGACGCCGACGGTTGGTGGCAACCGTCAACGCGATAGCAATGCGCGAGGCCTGGACAGAAAAATCAGAAATGGTATGTGGCCATAGACCGTCTTCGGGAAGGTGCAGCGGCGTGGCACCGGTATGAAGGCTGGAAGCAGCAGTCATGGGCGGAGTGGAGCTGCAAGCTCATAGCTGCTTTCGGTTGTAATCCTTACCACCTCTCCACCACCACCCAGTCCAACCTGGCCGGTATCGAAGAGCAAGCTCCAGAGGCTTTCTACCTCGCGACTGCAGCTGTGCGCTGCAGCTTACCACCCGAGAAGTTAGACACTTTGTCGATACCCGAAGAAAGTTCACTGCGGCCAGAGGCTGCTACCGAAGTCGGGCCTCTTGAAGGGCGTTGCTCCAACGAAACAGCCGCAGAGAACCATCTCGACTGTGCTGCATTGCCCTTTACCGACGCAACCCCATTCGCACACCGAGCTGAAGTGGAGCAACACCTCGAAGGTTCCTCGGAGCCCTCCAGCCGCGCGGCAGTAAGCTTCTCCACCTGTACTACGAATGACGTCAGACGCAGGTGCGACACGCCACTACTGCTCTCAGTACCAGCGCCGGTACGCGATGCCATCATGTCAGTGGAAGAGGCTGATACCAGTCCTCATACAGCTCAGTTAGAGAAGCCAGCCCCAATATCACCTGAGGCTGATACCAGCCCTCATACAGCTCAGTTAGAGAAGGCAGCCCCAATATCACCTCTACTGAGGCAAGTGGAGACACCAGCATCGCCTATGCTTGAACCGCCTACGGTGATGGCGCCGGTGGAGCCCAAGGTACCCAGCGACTCTTTTGGGATACTCTTTCGGCTACCCTCGTCCAGAGTTCAACGTCTGCCGCTGATTTTGCGGCCCGTCCGAAGCGCGCTGTCAGGTGCATGTTTAGCTGCTTCCCGCAGAGAGTATCTGCATGGCCGAGATCGACCACAACAATGCAGCCAGTCTCGACCTCCCGATAGACTTGGGGAAGACTCTGGCACCCAGTTTCAGCGTGGCCAAGGCCGAACTCCGAGATGCAGCCACTATGTCGACCACCAGATCTACCTTTGGCAGATACCGGGACCAAATCGCGGCCGAGAGCGTCGGCCGCAACGGGGCAGCCAGTGCCGGCCGCCTGAGTCCATAGCACTTTTTCAAGGGACATCGTGGCGTGCAAAAGAGCGACCAGCTCGAGGTAGCCAGTGCCGTCCACCAGAGATGCTTCCCCCAGACCGTGGCTCTATGTTACATTGTGGTCTGGGCTGACCACCACGATGCAGCCAAGCCCGCCCACCAGAAACTTTGCCGCCAGCTCCGCGCGCGCGCAGTCATGGCCGAGTGTCATGACCAAGAAAGACGCTGGCGCTTCGGCGCGCGGGTAGCTAGAGCAAAGAAGAGAAGAACGAAGTCAGAATAAGAACAGCTGGCCCAGGATCGGGTGTTGTCTCTTGTTCTCTGTCTCGCTCATTACAATATATATATATATATATATATATATATATATATATATATATATATATATATATATATATTGTCAGGCCGGCAGACCTTATTGCCCTGAATATCGATAGCAGCCTGCTCAGTTGTTCCTCAAATGTTTCTGAAATATACAATAATGTCGTCCAGATAGATTAGACAAGTCTGCCACACAAGGCCTGACAGAACGGTATCCATTAATTTCTAAAATGTTGCGGAGGCTGAGCACAATACCAAGGGCAAGACTTTAAATTCATAAAGCCCGTCAGGCGTTACAAAAGCCGTTTTTTCTCTATCTCGCTCGTCAACTTCAATTTGCCAATACCCACTTCCGTGGTCCATTGACGAGAAGTAGTGTGCATACCTCAGCGTGTCGAGTGAATCCCCGATGCTCGGTAATGGGTATACGTCTTTCTTTGTCACATGGTTCAGCTTGTGCTAGTCGACACAAAATCGCAAGCTGCCGTCTTTCTTTTTAACCAGCAATACCAGCAATACCCAAGGGCTTCTTGACGGCTGGATGACGTCATCATCGAGCATTTTCTTCACTTGTTCTGCTTCATGCTCTTTCGGTGCTACGTGGTATGGGTTCTGTCGTATTGGCCTTGCCGTCTCCTCCAATATTATCCGGTGCTTCGTCAGTGGCGTTTGACTGACCCTCGAGGCCGATGAAAAACAGTCTTTGAACAGGGGAAGAAGATCTATTAGACGCTGTCTCTGTGCTGGTGATAAATCCGTGCTTACGTCAATAGGTGATAGGGCGGGCGTGGCTTGTGGCTCGTCCTGTTGCACAACAGAGTACTCGCGGATGTCAGTGATCTCGTCCAAGTAGGCAACTGTAGTGCCTTGTGTAAAGTGTCGTCACTCGTTGGCAAAATTCGCCAACAGAACCTCCTCTTCACCACACACAGCATTGACGATACTTCTGGCAATTGCAACACTGCGAGAGAGTAAAAGCGTCCATACTTGTTCAGAATTTTCTTCTCCAGCTTGCAGCATGCTGCGCACTGCACGTGACCTAAACAAGGCGGCACAATAACGGTGTTACGGTCACGTCGTCAAGGACGCGCAAGAAGTTTCGGTGTAGCACTGCGCTTTGATACGCTGAAAAGGTCAGTACACCATCCGGTATATTGATGATGGCAATATATAAAGAGAGACTTACATTGGCAGCGTAGACCAGATGTAACACGCATCATCATGTTCAGCATTTTAGCACCGTCATCATGGCGGCCTCAATTATTTATCATGATCATGTCGACAATCATCGTCCCTTCACGTCATCGTTTCGAGAATCATCGTAATTGAACATAACCGCAATCATTCCTCTTATGTATTCCTTCGATCACCTTCTCC